GGAGGCGGGCTGGGAGCGGCGCCGGGAGGAACCGGGCCGCAGGGCCTCCTGCTGCCGGGAGCCGCCGCCAGCCCTCGGGAGTCGTGGAGTCACCGAATAAACTGGGTTGGATAAGGGCTCTGAGATCATCGCGACCAACTTGTGGCCGAACACCATGTCTACCAGACCATGGCACCAAGTGGCACGTGCGGACTTTCCGTGACCATCTCTAGGGATGGTGACTCCACCACCTCCCTGGGCAGCCCATCCCAGTGTCTAATTACACTTTGAGTGAGGAGATTCTTCCAAATGCCCAGCCCAAAGTTCCCCTGGCACAGCTTAAGACCATGTCTTCATACTACCCACGTCCCTTCCCAAATGGATAATCCCTGCCTGGCTATACAGCCTCCTTTCAGGTAAGGTCTCTCCTGAGGTGACTCCTTTTCACCAAGCTAAAAGAACTCATCTGTTTTAGCTCTTCCCCACAGGACTTGTGCTCCAGAGCCTTTCACAGTTCCGTTGCCTTCCTCTGGATTTGCTCCAGCGCTCCAGTGTCCTTGAATTGAGAACTCAATGTCCTTCTTGAATTGAGAACTATGTCCTCTTGTCCTGTCACTACTTGCCTGGGAGAAGAGGCCAACACCCTACCTGGGAACACGGTTCTTTCAGGTTGTATCCAGGTCGTGGTCAGCATCTTGGGAAGGGACACAGGTGGCCAGTACCTGTGATCCTCTGGGAAAATGACACAGTCATAGTCCTCTTGAAAGGCTTTTGGTACTGCCTGACTGAACCCTCACCCTCCGCTGACAACCCTGACACTGCACACAGAGTTCTGACTTTTCATAGGAGCAAAAAAAAAAAATAAAATTGTGGCTCTCAATCAACTGTGAAGAGCAGCCATCAGCCATTTGGCTTTAAAAACAAGGAGCTCTGATCATGATAACCCATTCAGTGTGGTTTTAACTACAGACCTTTAGAGGCAACAAGTTGCCAGTTGTTTGTTCCAGAGCTTGTGCAGACCTGCCACAGCACAGCTAAATGCCAAGTCAAGATTCCATCCTTCCCACAAAAGATAAAAATACCATACACTCACTAAAAAAAAACAAAACCCTGCGCTGATCACCCTTATTCAAGTGTTCCGTGCATAAGGAGGAGAGTAAGGGCACAGCTTAATTTTTCCTTTTACCCTCTCAGATCCACAATTTCAGATTCACATAAAATTTGTGGAAGAAAAATTTATGCCAAAGATCTGAGATCGTTCATTTTATGAGGATCATGGGTGAAGAAATACATACCCCCTTTTTCCTCAGAAAAACATAGCACTAGCAATGATAACAGAAAATTTTTTTTTTTTTAATTGCTACATTACATTTTTCCTTCTAAAGACTTATTTAAGATATAAATTCTAAGGATACTTTTTATGTCTTTTCCTCCCTGCAGGCACCAGCTAATTTCTCAGTCTTTTCAGGTACTTTGCTTTGATCCTTTCACAATGTGAACTGTGATGCACTGAGATGCAAAGCTCTGAAAGGGAATTGTGGATGCTAGCAGCTGTGATCCCAAAGAACTTTTTCTTTAAGGATTATTTTATGAAGAGCTCAATACTTACATCAGCCCTGTTTAGCATCTTTGTTGATGACCTGGACAAAGGGATTGAGTGCAGCCTCAATCAATTTGCAGTGATGCCAAACTGGGTGGTAATCCAGATCGGCAGAAAGGCTCTGCAGAGGGATCTGGACAGGCTGGATCATGGGCTGAGGCCAATGGTGTGAGGTTCAACAAGGCCCAGAGCTGGGTCCTGCCCTTGGGTCACAACAACCCCAGGCAGTGCCACAGGCTGGGGCAGAGTGGCTGGAAAGGACCTGGGGGTGCTGGTGACAGCAGCTGAACATGAGCCAGGCTGTGCCCAGGTGGCCAAGAAGGCAAATGGCATCCTGGCCTGGCTCAGCAATAGTGTGGCCAGCAGGAGCAGGGCAGGGATTGTCCCCCTGTCCTGGGCACTGGTGAGGCCACACCTCAAATCCTGTGGTCAGTTTTGGGCTCTTCACTACAGGAATGTCATTCTGGTGTTGGAGCGAGTCCAGAGAAGGGCTGTTGAAGGTATTGGAGGTATTGAAGGGTCTGGAGCACAAGTCCTATGAGGAGTGGCTGAGGGAGTTGGGGGTGTTTAGCCTGGAGAAAAGGAGGCTCAGGGAGGACCTTATCAGTCTACAAGTACCTGAAAGGACAATACAGATGAGGGGGGTTCAGTTTTTTCTCCCAAGTAGGAAGTGTTAGAACAAGCAAAATTGGCCTCAGGGAAAATGCAGTAGGGAAGTTTTGTATTAGACATTATGAAAAATTTCTTCACTGGAAGAAGAATTGTCAAGTTGTCAAGCATTGGAACAAGCTCTCCAGGAAAGTGGTTGGACTCACCATTCCTGGAAATGCTGAGGACATGTTGTAGTGGTGAATATGGTGGTGGTGCTGGGTTGATGATTAGACTTAATGAACTGGGAAGTCTTATTTTAAGAAAAACCTAACCATTCTATGAGCTTTTCTGTCATACGGCTTTTCTTAAGGCAGGCTGCAAGAAGGCTTAGGAGGTAAATAGGGAAGTAAGCTTTGCATTGCCTTCAGGCCCAGTTTATCTCTGTGTTGTTGTGGAGTCTGGAGCAAAGATAAAAAAAGAGGCTTCCCTCCCCCATATCAGGAACTTTTTCCTCTTGGTTGCCTGTGTGGAATTCCTGTCAGTGTAAATGAAAGTAAATAGGTGCATTGAAGATGGATATATGACTTGACTTGAAGAAGTGGAGCTTCAGTTTGTGGTTTGGAAAAGCAAAAATTCTTTTGAAACCTGTCTTTGAAACTTGAAACCCTTGAAACCAACAATTTATTTTTTTTTTTAAATGAAGCAGGATCAAAACCAGGAATGTTGACATAAATATGAAAGGATGTGTTTTAGAGCTGATACTTCACTTGCCTTAAGATTTCAATATCTTAATTGCCCATAAATCCTGATTTTTAACCATCCATATAATTCCATGAAAACAGTGAGTCTCCTGATGCATATTAGGAACAAAACATGTAAAGGGAATTAAGCAGCAGGGTTCTTTTCTACTTCCCTTACCCCATTATTTGGAATTTGAACAAGTTACAGTCTTTACTTCTGTAAAGCAAAATCTGTAATGTTTGCAGCTTCTCTGTATTCTGTACACTTAAAATCTTATAAAGTTGCATAATCAGGTCAAACATCATAGTGGCTGAGGTTTTCAAGCAGATCCTATATAAAAAATTACAGTCACATACTTATGACTTACAAAATGTGACTGACTTTATCAAAGTTTCTTGTAAACTCAAGTGATTAATCATGTTTTTATTCTTGCTTTTTCTTTAACCACCAGTAATTTAAACTGGAGTTTGTTCTTCAGAGTATATACAAGAGTGAAAAGGCAATTTCTAGTATTCCATTGTTTTTATTGAAAATGTTTATTAAAAGGTCAAATAGTCTCTTCCAGACAGAAGATAAACCTTCTACTTTGTGAAATCCCTTAAAGAAGGTTATGCTTGAGCACAAAATCCCCTTTAGTCTGTAATGTATTCCAACATAAAACTCAGAATAAAAATGAAAACTGGAAAAATTACAGTGACCTTTACATGTACTGAGTTCATCTAAACATGGAATTGAGCTTCTGTTTATGTATTTTATGTTTATATTGTGAACTGAGTTCTGTTATATTGTATTGTGCCGCAGGGGCTGTTTGCCAAACATTGCTTCCATGTGCATTCTTTGTGAGTATGCACAAAGAATAAGCAGATACAGAGCAAGAACAGAATATGGCCCTCACAAATCTAACAGTATAAAGAATATATAATACTACAAACACAATGCTCCTCCTCCTGTAGGGCTGGTCAGCACCAGTGCAAGAGACTCCTCTGTATTTAAATCAGAAATAAGGAATGGTAAGTTATAATTACTTAATAAATACTTTTGTCAGATATGGAAATCTTCCAAGAAAACATTTCATATGCTTTGATAAACTCAATAAACTCAAAATACATAATAAATGGCTGCAAATTACTGATACTGTTCCCCTTAGGTGAAAGCAAACCCTTACTATCCTTATATCTCTCTATCTCTTTTTTCTTTTTTTTTTTCTCCAGAACTGTAATGATTTTGCAGATCTTCATAGTGTTTTTCTATCACACACATAAGTATATGTTTGCAAAAAATTCTCTTTGTTGAGTCAAGGCTTAATAAGTAGTTGAACATCATCAGTGCTGCTCTAGATCCACGTATTAGTCTTGCAGCATCTGTACTGTCTTCCCATGCTTCAGGCTGGGGACAAATTCTGAGCTAACATTTCTTTTTTTAAGGAGCTTATGACGCTAAAAGTTCCTTCTTTTCTTTTTCCATCTTTTTGCCACTTGCTTACCCCTCTTAGTCTCCCTTTTTTCCCTGATCCCCAGCACTCTGCACCCGATGATCTGTTTTTCTCGCTCCCCTGTGCAGCTCTTGGCCAGCCCATTGACACTACCGCGTCATCCTGTCACTTCCACTGCAGGGGCAAGGATGTGGGAGTGAAGCTGAAGTGTTCTTGTGTGGAGATGTATATAGAAGAGCAGTAGGGTGAGGAGGAGGAATAGCACCATGCTGTGACAGAGTGGATGTTGGCAGAACACCCTTCTGCCTGGCAATTGGCAGAGGAAGAAATGGACAACTCAGGGAGTGGGTCAACACCACTAACAATAGTAAGCTAAGCAGTAAGGATGTGTTGTAGAGTGTATACCTTGTGGGGAGAGCAATTTGAGGACATGTGAATACAGGCCAGCTGAAGGTATCTGAAAATCTCTCTGGGCTGTGTTGGAGAGCAGCCCACAGCCATGCTCTATGTGGCTCAGGCAGCTCTTTCACAGCACTTGCAGCCCACCCCCCTGCAGTGTGCTGTGTCTTGCCTTGCACAAAATGAGCCCCCCAAGGGCTGTTCTCTGTGGTGCTCCTTAGATGTATGCACCAAGCCTGATGAAACTGAACAGTAATCAACACTACTTTGCTCACTTTAACATAAACTTTCCCCACTATTGTTGCCCTACTTTTTATGATGTAAATAGTATCAGACAGTTCCAGCTTTTCCAGCTGAGTGTGGATAGCAAGCTGCGACGGGGCCAAGCAGGGCTACCTAGATTTCTGATATGACAGAGGTTCATCAGCAAAGCTGATACATACAGAGATGTACAGGACAAAGAGAGCTGTGCAGCAGGATGGGAAGCTGACAATGTGTTTGCTCACTTGCTCCCTATCATCTGTACTTTCTTAACATCAGTAGTGCAGAGTCTAGAATTTTCTCAAGTAGAGGACAAACAATGGGATAATGATATCCTAACGGAACACACAGTGCTGAAAACTGTTGTAGTTGAAAGAAGTTTGTTGGGTTTT